TGAAAAGATCCAGATCGATCTCTAGATAATATTTTTCTCTCGCTTGTGGAATGACTAAGTGATCTTATAATGATGTTTTTATTTACTTAAAAGGTCAGGGCAGCAGCCTGAATGTGAATTTGATATCTTGGAAAGGTTTGAAGCTGATGCACAAACAGCAATTTCAAACTGAAGAATCAGACTTAACCTGGGCCTATTTCAATTCTTGGAGAGGCTGCCTTGAAATCACAGGGATCAGTTCCCAACTACTAAGTATTTCTCCCTTTTCTGTATGGATATGTGAAAAAACAACTTACCCTGTTAACTGGCAGTTTCACAATATGGGACCTATTACTTGAAATAACCCTGAAATTAAAATGATCCATCAGTCATAAATATATGCCACATATATTTAAAGTTTTTTTCTCAGTTGGCAAGTGATTGAAACTTATTTTTGCTGTGTCATAAACTAAATTCAGTAATGATTTTTAGTTAGCTTCCTAAAATACGTTTAGGAGCTTGTGTAATGAAAAAGGCAATATTTTAATTTTAATTTTAGTTCCTATAAACCTAAGGAGATATAGTTTTTAATAAGCACAACCTCAAATATCAGTAAAATGAATATTTCTAGATATACTTTCAAATAATGATAATCTAAATACAAACATTAGAAGTTGATTCATATATCCTGCTTCTTTGCTCCTCTCTACATTGCCTAAATTAATAATGAGTTCTTATAAATATTCTTTTTCTTTAAATATTTGAGGACCTCTTTGAGCTGATATATACAATGATTTACATATATATATAATTCACCATATTTAAACACTAAAGTTGAAAAAAAATTAAATTCAGGTATCTGAAGGAAGGAATTTTTAATGCTTTTAGGTATATAAAATAAGTAGAGAAAACCGCAAAACATTTTGATAGATTTTCTTCTCCCTGAAAACAGAGTGACTAACAAGCTGGAGGAAACAATCACAAATAATTGAAAGTTAATAGTCAGGCTGACTTCAGGGCAAAAATAAATTACTTAGATACTTGAGATTTTTACAGTCACTGTTACATTCTCATTTTGAACATGACAATGAGAAAATTTAAAAGGTTAAAATAGAAACTGTCTTGTTATTTTACTTTGTCAGAATGTTGATAATAGATCATAAAAGATACAAAGAAGGAAGACTTGTAGACCAAATTTTTGTCATGGTCTTGTTAGACTAAATTAAACATGTATTATATAATTTTGACTAAGTGAAAGCTAATCAGAATCTTGAGGAAGCTAGATTCTTTTTCCTTTGTCCACCTTGACATATATTTTCAACACTTCCTGGTGGTGGCATGGAACAAGTGGTCATCCAGACCAATCTTTTATATCCTTACATTTGTATTACTGTATGATAAAGTGGTAAATTCTATAGTCTTTGAGTTTTCAAAATTATTTCAAAGACACATATACATAAAACCCTTATAAGGTATGCTGAGTAGACAATACTGCCTTCATTTTGCAAATGAGAAACTAGAGGGCAAATTATTTGACGCAGGCATCGTAGCAAGGTGAGTTCTCAAGCCTCCTCTCCTCTTTGTAGTCTTGCCCTCCTTCTAGAATCCATGCTGGACTAAAGTTCTATCCCTCAGCAGGCTCCCTTTGAAACAGTGCATCTTCTGCAGTGGTCAAGCAGAGAGTTAATCAAATTTATACTGTCCTTTTTAAAGGAGCAAAATATACAAAACCAATATTTTAGAAACATTTTCAATAATAAGAGTCTGAAGCAGTGAGTTTTAGCACTTAGTCCTCACTGAACCAGAAAATTAAATGAACCAAAATGCCTTCACTATATAATCTAGTTAATCACATCTTTTAAACTATAGACAAACTGCTGTCAGAAGCATTGTATATCCCTGGTAGTGCATATGACAGCACTTTCTTCCCCTTGTGATGTACAAGTTTTAATTAAAGTGAGAGTCATTAAGGACTCTTGGATTGTAAAATCACCAGGTCTTATAGGCTTGTGGACCCATAGCAATGCAAGGCTTTTTTTTTTTTTTTTTTTTAAAGCAGACTGTAGAAAGATGCTGTTTTCAATAAGAGGAAAACAAATTGTATACCATTGCAGTAAGGGATGAGCAAGAGGGTCCTGTTTATCCATCTGCTTCTTGATTTCCAGATATGGTGCCTGAAAAAAAGTCATTATACTCCTTGATTTTTCTTAAAAATTCATTTTTCCTTTGTTACAAAAGGTAAATCAGATTGAACAATATGCCTAATCTAGTTAAATTTAAAAATCTGTGGCCTGGACATGGGAACAGCAACAATTACTATAGTCATTCCCCCAAGATGATGAGAACTGTGAACTTCCATGCAGCACAAGGTACTTGCCCAAACAATGGGTTAAGACACTTGACCAAATTCTAGCCTGACTACCTTACACAAGACTGTGTCCCTACCGGTGACCCCCAGACTCCTTTTTGAGTCTCTCTGCTCAAAAAAGTGCAATGCTGCCAAAACCACAAAATGTACATTGTCCCAACCCACCTTGCCAAACCATTTTCAGTAATTCTCCACTTACCCCTTCTGTAATTTTCCATTTCACACAACTCTCCTAGTCCCTTTTCATTATTCCCTCCTTTTTTATTTCCCCATATCTCCTTTTGGTTCCTCTCTTCTACCTTTAAAAACCTCAGTCGCCTTTTGTCTTAGCTGGAGTTGAGCTCCGTTTATGCTGCAGTCTCTCTCCCCTACTGCAGTGCTCTGAATAAAGTCTGTCTTGCCACCTTTAACAAGTGTCTTGTCATGTTTCTCTTTGACAATGACCATTTTTAACTTTTAACAAATATTAGAGCAAAATTGGTGATAGCTACTACTCATGCTCATACCTGAGTGTATAGTTCTTTACAAAAGAAAACTGGACACCATTTACATAAGAACCCTTCTCTAAAAAGTATTTAATGGCATTTACCCAAACAATTAACCGTTCATAGAACAAAGAGCAATCTCTCTGTGACAATTTAGGGCTATAGATAGGTTTGTACGTTCTAGAAAATAGGGCAGTATAATGTTGTATTTATCTGGAGAGGTTTAAAAAATTTGACACAATGAAACCTGACAGCATCCCCAGGAAGTGCTCACTGAAAGAGGGTGCAGTGTTACTATTTCCACCTTGACAGTAAAGACACTGAGGCATCAAGCAATTAACAAACTCACCCAAGGTCACAGGCCACATCACTGATGAGCCAGTTACACAACTTTGGTCTCTAACTTCCTAGGCTGACGCTCAATTGTCTACATTGCCTGCTATTAAAATAGCTTACATATGACCCAGAATAAAGGGAAGCAATTCTTGGCAAAGAGCTGATTCCAGAGACAGAGTTAGTTGCTATTTTTAAATCCAAGAATGATCTAGGTCTAGGGTATAGTTCAAATATCCTATACCAGTCTTTTTCATGACTAAAATTGTTTGTCTAACCTTGTGTAAGATATTGCAATAAGTTGATTTTTTCCCTAAGTAGAATTGCACTTTATTGTTTTCTTTCCTCCTACAAATAATAAATGCTTGCCTGAAAGTGAATTGAGATAATTCGGAAAGGTACGGGCATAGACAAACAACCGGAAGGGAGGGTGGTTTTTAAGCAAATAATATAACTTGTGAATAAACAAGGATCTCGTTTGCCACTGTCTGACACACACTATTTGTTAAATGAATACATGAATATTTGACTACATGAATAAATAATGATCAAAAGAATCAGGAACCAAAATTGGAAATGTAAAAATGTACTTTGTGAGAACTGTCTTCAAATAGAGAAGCAGAGATGTTGCTGGGAGATCTGAGGGTAGGGAGAGAGTAGCATAGAAGGTTAAGGTTAGTGGGCCCCGGGACAGAAAGATCCCCCTATTCGTTCCCCAGAAAAATAAACAACCCAGGATGATACTCCTTATACGCCCACAGCTCTCTAGGGCAATGCAAGCTGTACACATAATGTGTGTTGTTGTCAATTTCAGGTTAGTAATTTCTCATTTACCATGATGACTTTTAAACCTCTCTCCAAATCTTAGGCAGTGGAAAGGACTCAATAATTCAATAGCATGTGCTTTTCTAAGTGCTAGACTGCAGCCCAGGGACGTGTTAGATTTTCATACCTTGAGACTCTTGCTCACCAAACTTTTCCACAAAAGAATTTCTAATGACCAAAAATATAAACTCACACTCTCGGAGAGTCTGGCACTTTCCAAAGTGTTTTTGAGATTCTGTGTTATAATATTTATGCAAAATTTGCATTTTAAAAAATTTGTTTTATTTTAATATTAAAATAATGTTTTAAAATTATTACCATCAATTGAAACTGACATTCTTGAAAGATGGGTACCAGATTTAACTTTTGCTTTTAAATATTCTGACATACCCACATGTCCTCACGGCTCTTGCCCAAGTTTGAGAGAAGAGTATCAGGATTATAATTATGCATTTACCCTCTGAAAGTCACAGTGTTAGCATGCCAATAGACTGATGTAATTTAATTAAAACAACATAATTTATTAATTATACTCCATATAACAGAAAAATCTACATTTCACTGCAGGAATAACACTCTCACACATTTTTAACATATGATGGCATTTCAACAAAACCAAACCGTACAAGATCACAAGATGACATACTTACTTGTGTCATTTCTCTGATAGAAGTTATGCTATCCAGTGCTTTCATTACTCGATCATAGTTCTTCTTCTGTTTAATAAAAACAAAAAACAAACAAACAAAAAAACCCTGTATTTGCTTATAAGCCTTTGCAAGTCTACACATCACTAGAGAAACATATTATTTCAGGGTCAATTTGAAAGCAATGACTGTTTTGTGTACATAAAAGGCAAGACTGTAATAAGATGGAGCAAAGATGTAGGATTTATAACTTGAGTAAAAGGGAAGAAAAAAGAAAACAATGCCAGTCTTACATAAATATATAAAATCATGTTCAGTCTACAGGGAAAAAAAATCTAGAAACACAAAAAATACATGAGGTTCCTTATTCAGGCTTTTACCACTGAGACAGTAAGCCATGATTGAATAAAGTAAGCAAAGAATCCTTCTAAAATGTCAAAATATACTTCAAACTTCACAACTGTTTTTATTATCAACTAAAATATTGTTACCAAAAGAGTATGGCCAACAGTGTGCAGATGTCAGTATACACTCAACTAATAACTCATTTTTAAACATAATGTAAATACGTGCACTGCTGCCACCTATGAAGGCAGGAAAGTTCTTCCAAGGAAATTTTATATAGTCATTTCTATAAAATGATTTCAAGATGAATATTAATAGTAAGTAAGGCAATTTGAGTTCTCATGCAATTCAAAAATTTTATTTCAGAAGGATTCTGATGAATTGCCGCAAATATTTATGAAATTGTTTTCTTAAGAAATGCTAGTCCATTAACTATATGAATTCAACTTTCAACAACCTTCAGATAGCTGGGGAGGGAGAACGGAGATGGGAAGGGAGGGTTGAAGTAAAAATGCAAAAGAAAAAGGAAAACGTTTCTTTTTACCCATGATCCTTAAAATGAGGTTAAGTCAGAATCCGAAAAAGTACACAATGAAGTTAAAATAATCATGGATATGTTTGATGAGATCGAGATTTACATAGAAAGAGGAAAGCTAACCAGACTAAAATCTCAATTATTGTTAACAGAAACTTTGTGATTGGCATGCTAGGACAACTACCTACCCTGGGGTTGAAGGCCAGCATCTGAGGATCATTAGGATCTACCACAGAAGGATATGGCTCGAAAATGACAACTTTTCTAGGAGATTCCAATGCAGACCTGCACATGGATACTAGTAGATCCACCACCTTGAAATATACACAGAACAGAGTCACTATCAGTCAGGTTTTATCAAATGCTCTGCCATGTTTCTTCCTCTCATGGTAGCATAAGTTAATTAGGAAGCCCAGGGACTGCAACTTGCTTCTCGAATCTGTAATTTATGACTAAACCAAATTTGACCAAACTTGACCATAATTACTCACACTCTAATATCTCTTTGTCATGAGCACATATTATATGCTAGCATTGTTCTAAGCCCTATGGTAAGACAATGAACAAGAGACAGGTCCCTGCTCTCCCTGGTGGAGTTTACAGTCCCATGGAGAAGATAAATTAAAAAAAAAAAAATCAGTTAAAACAAATATATACCTCAATAGAATTTCTGGTACTGTTAAATGCTATAAAAATAAAGTAGCCATGAGACAGTTAGGCAGAAAGGGGTGCTGTTTTAGAGTGTCCAGGGAAAGTGGTGACATCTCAATAGGACCTGAATGAGGTGAGGGAAGGAGACATGCCACTGTCTGGGGAGAGACTTCTGCATTGGGTGAAGGAAACGGCACGCGGAGGATGAGTCTGGCACGCTCCAAAAACAGCAAATTGCCTGACAACACCTTGCCCCTTCCTAATCTCCTCTGTCAAAGGCCACTGATGACCTTTGATTTACTAAACGCAATGGCTTTATTCCGATGTCATCCTATGATCCCTTTGCCTAGTTGACTGGGAGGGAGTACTATGTAGCAGTACAGTCCCCGAAACAATGTATGTCAAAAGTTCATGGGAACATTCATACTATCTTTTAATTCTCTTTTTCCATGACCTTTTTGAAGTACCCTCATATTTCTGGCAATTGAATCAAGAAAACTGATAGTGTCTAAATGAAGGAAGCTCACCTGAAGAGCCATATCCATAGTGTGGACACAAGTGACTTAATATGAAAGCAGCAGACTTCATATGTATATATCTTCATAGGGAAAGCTATTTCTACAAAGTTTTAAACAGGCATTTAAAAATGCATAGTGGGAGTGGGACAATTTTTGGTTTTCCTACTTTTGTGCAGGAGCACTGTGGATGGACCTAATGATAATTGTTTCAGTATGTTGTGTGTGTACTTAAAAAACACATCCACCCAAATCACAGCATCCAGAATTTCCAGTGACCTAAAATAATTTGCAACAAATAAGCCAAGGGATATAACATGCCCCAAGTACATAGACATACACCTACCCAAGACTCAGAACACACTAGAACTGAAACAGCTAATGTTTCTGACACACTATTCCATTTATGTGTGTGTGTATACATATATATGCAATATATTGGATCGTTTTTCCAGTGACCTAAAATAATTTGCAACAAATAAGCCAAGGGATATAACATGCCCCAAGTACCTAGACATACACCTACCCAAGACTCAGAACACACTAGAACTGAAACAGCTAATGTTTCTGACACACTATTCCATTTATGTGTGTGTATACATATATATGCAATATATTGGATCGTTAGCAGTAGATATAATAAAGCCATAATAAAACTCTCCTTTTTGTCTGCCTTCCCCACACTCACATTCCTTTTACTCCAGTGAGATGCAAATTAGATACATATTATTTTCAGCATTATCTGGTCTCCTACTGAAATTAAAACCCAAACAAGAATTCCTGAGAAAGAAGAAACAATGAAATAAGATAGGAACCTTTGGAGGGGGGTGACAGTAGAAATTGATATAATCTTATAAAACCCTTTAAAAATTATGTCATAGTATGTAATTGAAACTTTATAAAAGTCCATGCTTTTTTTGTCAATATTTTTATTAGAGCACTTAAGTAAATTACAATGTAATAATGGATGCGGGGGTAGAGAATAATTAAATTCTGTAGTTAAAGTAGAGTATTTCTGTTAACATATGTCCTAGCATAACTTCAAAAATGGTATAATTCTTGTGGCAAAATTACGTGCCATCCACTAGAATTTCATACGCCTTGCTTTCAAGGTGTAAAGCTATTGCCTGGAAACAGCTGCTCAGTAAGGGATATTTCTACCTCCTTCATCTGAATAAGGTCTCATGACTAGTCTTGACCAGCAGATCACAAGTGCAAGGGGCTGACCTGATGAGGAAACAGTGAACCTTCCCCACTTTGCTCTCTCCCCTCTACCGAATGCCATGTACTGAAGACAGCGGGGCCACACGATGGAGTCCAGTTCCCTCAGACACCACGTACAAAGTGGCCATCAAACATTCTAATTGGACAGTGTGTGAGTGACAAGTAAAATCTATCATGTTGAGCCACTGTTATTTTATAGCTTATCTGTTACAGAAGCTAGCATCAGAATTTTAAAAAAAGGTTTATACA